CTTATGATGACCTAACAGCTTACAGTTTGAACAAAGTTTTTTTAAGTTTTCAGTGTGTCATGGAGCAAATTCTGATGCACAAAGGTGGAAATAACTATAAGCTCAAGCATATTGGGAAAGACAAGCTCGCCAGAAAGGGGATGCTACCACTCAATATGGAAATCAATCCTGAGTTGGTGGAGGAAGCAAAAGCATCACTTGTACAGATGCTATCAGGGGCAGGAACTGAGGCCGTTGCCACTGAGTTCATAAGTGAAGATCAAGGTGATCTTCAAGAATGAACTTAGATCACAAAGTGAAGTTTTTGTATGTACTCACTGAAGGACAGCTTTTTTGTTAATACTGCCTTATATACATGCCTAGACTACAACTTTATAATGTAGTGGCACAGTAGTAGGTTTTGGAAAATCTTTTGTACACTTAAAGGCAGTCATGTTTGTTTTAAAGTCTAAAGTAACATTCAACCCACACATTATGACTTACATTGGTTACCACAATAGTATGCAAACACCTTTGGCATAGCCTCCTACACTTACTGAAAGTGGGTGGCACATGTTTAAAGGTAGCAAAGCACCCTAGGTTTTAAGACACAAGACCCATCACCAGTTTGGTCCTTAACTTAAGCACAGAAGCATTATCAGCATTATTACAATGAATCAAACAAGCACACAAGCCCCATCATCATTAGTAAGGAGTACTACAAATACCATTACAGAAAATTACATAGCTTCCTACACTAAAGCAAAGTGGGAAGCACATGTAGAAAGGCATCAACATTTGCATATTTTACAGAACAGAATCAGATAAGCACATCAAAGCTTTTCATCATTAGAAATCTACAAAAACATAAACTGAGGAATCCAAGGGTCCATTTAAAATTTCTGGAAATTACATAGCTTCCTACACTGAAGCAAAGTGGGAAGCACATGTAAAAAGGCATCTACATTTGCTAACTTCATTGATTTTACATAACCGATAACCAGATAACCACATCAAAGGCCAACATCATTGTAAATCAAAAAAATCATAATCTGAGCAATAGATACTTCCCTTATGGAGTGTCCTGAAATATGTCGGCGTAGAGATCTGGGAATAAACAATCAAAGGAGTTCACCTCCTCGCCTTCTTCCACCGATTCAGGAGACTCATCGAAGTGAGAGCCATACCTCCTTCTTCGTTTCCAACCCGGATCCGTTTCCGATGATGTCCACCCGCATGCACCCTCAGATTCGTCGTAGTGGGAGGCATAGATGTGTCTTCCCTTCCAAGCCAGACCCGTTTCCGATTCATTCCACCCGCATGCACCCTCAGACTCATCTTCATCGGCAGTGGTTAGGAGAGGATAGTGTTCGGAAACTTTGACCACGGCTTGGTTGAAATCAGACGGGCTAGGGTTGGACGGATGTGGGTGTACATCGGAAGAGGGATGGGGTTCCATGTTGGAATTAGAAGATGACACAGAGGAAAGGAGAGTTCCATGGTTCGAAAGAGTGATTGATTCCTCTTCCATATGGAGGACGAAAGGATTTGAGGAGAGAAGGCCACCGATTTGAAAGCGGATAAGGTGGGAGGTGGGTAAAGTGCGAATCAGAGGGGTCGGTGGAGTAAAGATAAGGGTTGAGGGTTAATTAAATGGGTAGGGCAAATATGGTATTTCAAGTAGTATTTCTTTCCTAATAAGGAAATGAGAAGATGATTTTGGGACGGACCAAAATGGAAAGTAGGAATTTAATAAGGGGACGGAGGGAGTATGCAATATGGTTTAATTTAAAACTTAACATCCACGATGCAACTATGAATTCGAACTAATACTAAGAAGCTGTTCAGTTCGTCTTAATCTTATTACTTATTGCTTATTCTTATTTTATTCAGATCATAAAAATTCAGATCAGATCAGAAAAAATCAGATCAGACTAGAAAAATTCAGATCATATCAGAATCATTCAGATCAGATTACAAAGATTCAGATCAGATCAGAAACATTCAGATCAGATCAGGAACATTCAGATCAGATCAGGAACATTCAGACCAGATCAGAAAAGTTCAGACATGATTTATCCCTTTTACTATAATAATTATAATAATATTAATTACTATTATTATTGTTGTTGTTGTTATTGTAATTATTATTATAATTACTATTATTATTGATATTATTATTAGTATTATTATTCTTATTATTATTATTTTTACTGTATTATTATTATTATTACTATTACTATGATTACTATTATTATTTTTATTACTATTATGATTATTATTATGATATTTATTATTATCATGATTATTATTATTCTTATTACTATTATGGTTGTTGTTATTGTTATTAGTTTTGTTTTTGTTATTATTATATTATATGGAGTAATTAAAATTAAAATTATAGAAATAATTATTATAATTATAATTAAAATTTAATTATAGAAATAATTATAACTAAAAATATAATTACAATTATATTTATATTTATAACTACTGTAATACCTATAATAATAATTACACCTATTATAATTATGATTATAATTATGATTATAATTATATTTAAATTATATATGTGTAAAAACATTTATAATTATAGTAATTATAATTATAATTATAATTATAATTTTAGAAATATTCAAATCAGATCAGAAAGATTTAGATCAGATCAGAAGGATTCAGATTAGATCAGAAACATTCAGTTCAGTTCAGGAACATTCAAATCAGATCAGAAACATTCAGATTCAGATCAGATAAGAGTCATCAGACCAGATCAGATCAGAACTTAAAAAATTCAGATCAGAAAGATTCAGATCAGGTGAAGAGAACAACTTCTAAACCTAGAGCAAAGAAGAATGATGATGGGGTTTTCTATAATACCCAACAATTTGATGATATTCTTTTTATGTTGTCACGTGAATTTAATGAAGATGATGTATTATCATTTTACTATTATTTCATTAAGTGTGTTGCACTATTTGACTATTTGCAAACTAAACACAAAAATGTAAGTTTCTTGAATATGTCATCAAAAGTTACTATGTTCTCTCTTTATATTTACCAACATTTCATTTGAACTAACCAGTATGACGAATTTACTAATTGCAAGTTTTTCTCAAAACTTTTAGCATCAATTTGGTAGTGTACCGTACCGTTTCATATCGTTTTGAAACGGCATGGTCCGAATGGTTCCAACCTTAAAATTGAATTGTACTGAAGCGCTAGAAACTTCGCGGATACATTACGGGTTTTAATAATTTACTGGACAATTTCGGATCGCACCCACCCTAACATTGCACCTGAAATTTCTAAGTACATAAACTTGTTTTTAAATGTTAATTGAGTACACTTGTTAGATCAACATGTTAATACGGTAAAATTGGCTAACAAAATACTAATAGGTTCACTTCCTTAAAGTCTACGTCACCCCCCAACCCCTTGGTCAATGCCAGCCCCTCACATGTTGACTTCTCCTTGGTCGATGCACACCCACAAGTCAACACCCTACGCAAGTCGACGACCTGGAGATCGACGTTAGAACCTTGGTCGACTCCCCCTTTTTGGTTGATTTTCTGGAGGTCGACGCTAGAACCTTAGTCGACTTCCCTTCTTACTCAACATTCTGTTAGCCAACTTAGTCATGTTAATGTGTTAATCTAATAGGTGTACTCAACTAACACTAGAAAATTGAGTTTATATATTTAGGAATGTCAGATGCAATATAAAGTTTCTTTTACTCCACATCTCCACCTCATACAAGTTAGTGTACTAAATGCCTTTTTTTTTTAATAATATTACTAAATTCAATAAGAAAGACAAAAGTATGAGTAGTTTTTATATTTTCCAAAAATGTGACTAATCATACATTTAATGTCTTTTGTTAAATATTACATTTAATATTATTTTAGTATTACATTCATTACATTCATTATATTTAAAATATAATAAATGTCCAGCCACCCTGCATTGATGGCACCACTGCCGCCTACACCTTTGCCGCCTTCATCCAGTGACTCAACCCGCAAACGTATGTAGTTCAGTGACTTGCAGTGACTTGATCACCCCATGTGGTTAAGTAAATACTCCACCATTCAACAACTACTCCCCCATTCAGTGATGGCCACCATAGTAACTGTCGTGACTACTCCACCATTCAATAACTACTACGCCAGCCAGTGATTGTCGCCATCTGATTCGTGACTGCCGTTGCAACAACTGTTGTGGTAGTGACCTACGCCTAGTGATCGATCGCCACCCGACACCCCACAGTGACTACCAATCCATCCCCCACCCCATCCGGTGACCGTTGTCCGCCATGGCTCACCATCCGTAATCGCCATCATCGCTCGTCATCTTTATAGATGTTGGGTTCATCGCCATCGGTCCCAAAAATCGCGCATGACACAGAAAGATAAGATAGAGAGCTGAGGAGGATTCGTGATGGGTAACATCTGGTGCATGGCAGTGGGGCAACGACGATGGATCATGGATGCATGCGGTGACAACATAATGGGCCTGGCGGCAGCAAATGTGGTGCTCAGACCTGAGATAAGAGATGGTCAGATGGATGGTGGCGGCTTCATCCAATGCTGTTGCGTCAAAGATGGAGGGTAATGCATACGTGTATTTAGGCCTACTTATTCAATTTGTTTTTTTGTATGAAGTTTTATTTAGGTTACAACATTTAATTTCATTTAATGTAGTAAAAAAATAGCCATATTTGTTCATGACAACTCTAAAAGTAAAATTAAGCATCATTATTTATGTACTCTATTGACCATTTTCTCATAATATGTAGTATTGACAAGGTTGACTAAAAAATCCTAGAGTAACGGAATTTGAAAATTTCCGAATGAAAATGCTCTTCTCTTCCGTTAGGAAGCTGCTCTTTAGATTTACCCCAGCTTATTCAGAAAGTCAGAAACATAAGTGTTACTTGAACGACATGCATGTAAAGGACGAAAAGGCAAACCTTTTTCAATGACGGGAAGTTATTAAAATCAACTCCGTATTTTGCAGTATGCTTTGGAGCCGAAGAGGAAAAGGCTACTATTACGTTGTTGATCAAATTCAGTTTGAAGCATAAAATGGGTTTCCATAATGAGCTAAATAAAAATTCCCAGAACCTTTAACTCAGATAATTCTATGAACTCTAACAGACATGCATTGATAAGCCATATGGTCTTCATGCAGAGCCTCAGAAGGGTCTAATGCCGAAGCTACAGTAGGGAAAAAACTAAGTGGTAATAGAAACTTTTAAGCGCAAATGCTGAAGACAACTAGAAGCAGGCGGGCGCTTAAGGTGGTTCTGTACCAATCAACTCAAATGTAGGCGCTTAGAGTTCATCCTGCAAAATGGAAAAAATGGAATCAGAAAATTGGAGTAGACAAATCGCACGTTAAAACAAACTGCTGAATTTGCTGGAAGTAAAAATAGTTAGATAAATCAATTTCAGCCTAACGAGTAAGGCAAAAGCTACTTAATTATTTCTGCTTAATTCTGATTTTTCTTGCAGTTCTCAAGCAGAAAAAAACAAGTAGGGCTAGAAAATGGAGCCTTAGTGATTGCTTAGCTATCTGATTGGCTGTGACTCAAACAATCACTCCACAAGTAGATTTGCAACAGTCTGATTTCAATCAGAGATCAGACGGCGTTGAATTAGTAAAGAGAAATCCTTACATGTACATCATCATCTTCATTGGAATCTGGCTTCACATCCTCATCATCATCCGTCCCATCATCTCCATCCTCAACCTGAAAATACAACTTCTTCAATAAGGAGAAATGAAAAAAAATAGATATTTATACATGTCCCTTTTCTTTTAGTAGCTTTGCTTCTTTACAAAGTGGAAATAAGACTTACATCAGAATCAACTGGATCATCATCCTTGGAGTCCTGAAGAGACAACATAGTTTAAGTCAGATAAGAAGAATGAAACGTCAGAAAAACAAATGGGCTTAAAACATTATATGACCATGCATCATTTTTGGAAGAGTTTATACCTCCTCAGCAGACTTCTTTTCTGCCTCTTCAAATGCAGCCTTCTCCGCCTGCAAAATGGAATAAGCAGCAATAATTGAGTTAAATTTGTTCCATTCTTTTGTTGTATTTTCCATTTAGAATTTGTAATATCAAGTGCAGCTTGGCTGAGAAGATTCATACATCCTTATTTTTTTCCCATGTCTCTTCAGCTAGTTTCTTTGCATACTCAGGATCATCACATACCAACACATTGTCAAACAAGGTTCCGGATTTCACCTTCAAAAGCAAAATTTGAGTTAAAATACAGTTTTTATATACTCCGTATAACATAAGAATATCAGACAAAGAAACACTGTATGTGAACCACCGCAAACAAGATACTTAGCATATAGAAAAGTCCAACCTGCCACAATTCAATGCCCACATACTTCAAAGATGGATAAACATAGATTTCTGGGTCGTCTTTAAATTCTGTTGTGAATGGGGGGATGATTAAGTTCAACTAGATTAAAAATAATGACTATAGCAAAAGTAAAATCTAAACAGAATAATAGAAAAGAAAAGCATGAGTACCTGGGTTGTCAATCATAGGCGCCTTCCATTTCCCCTTGTAGTTGGGGTTCTTAATTTTCTGCAAAAAGAAAGAAAATAATTATGAAGAAGCCTAATAATCAAGATATAGCAAGCTTTACACATTGGTTAGTAAATGTGTGAACCTTTGCCGTCCATGGTCCCTTGTACTCAGGGTTGGGAATGGTAGGGGCTGTCCACTCACCATCCTCCTCATCATCCCAGTCTTCAGGCTGCAGAGTGTTAGCGAGAGTAGAGTAAGGTTTATTTAAAGAATAATTTCCAAGTCTATGAAGCATATGGTAAAACCAAGTATAGCAATTACTAATCTGGTCATTACCTTCTTAGCATCAGCATCGGCTATCTCCTTGGGAATGTCATCATACCCCTGTAGATAGTTATTCAGAACTCATCAAACATGAATAATTACTTGAAACAAAATAAAAGAGTTTGTTGGGAACCTAAAATGTCAACCGTTTTAAAAAATGAATCTGTTTTTGAAAATCTAATCATGTTTGGGAACAAATTGATTTTCTTAGAAGAATCCCCCCCACAAGCTTTAAGCTGCTTTTGAGAAGTTAGAAATTTGTAGCTTATGATTATTGTCAACCGCTTGATTTCTTTCTATCAGCTGCTTCGTACTATTTTGCCTTGTAAAAGCTAATTCTTTGAGACATTCAAACAAACCACAATAGAGTATACACATCATCTACTATTGAAATAGCTAACCCGAAGCATACCTCTGGTTTCTTATCTTCGGGGTCATCTATGTATTCAGTTTCATCCCAGTCATCAGGCTGTCAAAGGAATTTAGATTTTTAAGCAATTTAGTACATCAACAATCAAATAAGCTGGCGTTGAAGGGAACTTACTTTCTTAGCTTCTGGATCTTTAATTTTCTTTGGTGGGAGAAGATTCCAATCCTTGTACAAGCTACCAGTTTGCTTTTCAACATTGTCAATGAGAATACTATAGGTAGCATCAGGACGAAGAATGAAGGTATATACATGTGTCAGTTGGTCAGTCTCACATGCAACATCCTTCTTGATCAAGTGGTTTGTTCCTTTGTAATTAAGAATAGCGTGGACTTTTTTTGTGCTATAGCCACAGATGTCCGGCCCAAACATAATACTGTATTCAAACAAACACTGTTGCAAATTAGTGAAATTACAATGAGACAAACTGTTACATGTCGATTACACTAAGTGTTCATTCAATAACCTGTATGGGGTATCGCCACCAAATTTCTTTTGATCAATCTCGCCACTGAGCAACTTCATGTACCCACCACCACAGTCAAGCTTTTGCTCATGCTTGACTGAAAATTGGAAAACTAATGTCTTGTCCTTGTTGCTAAACTCAGGAAACTCAGCTGAGATTGCATAAAACCTATAGTCTTCACTGGTCTGAATACCTGCGCAATATATAACACATGCTTGGTCAATAGATACTAATTATTTAACTACTGCTCAAAAAAGCTTTAAATTAAATAGGCTGGCAACAAAGAGAGAAGTTTTCACCTTTGTCAGTAGGGTTTCCATTCCATTTACCAGATGTGAGATTCCACACTCCAGCCGTGTTGTCATCTTTTTTCCAGTCAGACACAACCCATCGTTCACTCCATTTGTCATCTAGAACTCAACAAAAGTATGCATCATCATGAAAACAAGTTATGCCAGCACCGAAAAATACAATATGCATAGCTTATGAAGACCATATCCCAGTGTTCCGCTTCTGTAATATTTTCATTTTGCAATAATTTCATTTTGCAAAGCCATTGGAGCATGGTCCAAGGACATATAATATAATCAATATTATACAAATCAATATGAAACTTTCCATTTAGATGTTCATCTCAGATCAAACAAAAAATTAGATTGTAATTCAATTTCCTTCGCAAGGTGGCCCTTACTTCAAATGCATCAAAATATTTTCATTTTGCAAAGCCATTAATTACACTAACAGTCTACACCACATTGCGATCTATGGTCAGAAATATAAACTCACTTAAACATACAACACATCGCGATCTATGATAGATACTTCACAGATCTACAGTCAAATTCAAAATCATTATAGAATCACACAGAAACTTCAGGTTGAAACATCAACATTATCGTCGACCAGATTATAGTAAAATTCCACAATCAATACGAAAAATAAACACAATTTGATCATACTACCGGCTATAGCCGAATCACACATTCACACACGAAAATGATTGATCAAAATGTATTGAGAACAAGCTATACAAGAACAGTACCATTAAAACGCTCTTCGAAGAAAACTTCGGCGGAGACAAGAGCCACAAGAAGAGAGAGCTGAATGGCCAGAGGGAGAAGCCTAGGGTTTAACATTCTCAGAGCAGCCATTGTTGTATCACACAGATACTCTGAACGAGTGATAAACCGTGAGCCTATTTATCTCCGTAAAAATGCCGAAATGCTTCTTCGGTTGGTACGTTACACTCAGTGATGAAAATCGAGCGCAGCTTAGATGAGGTGCACCAATAAGTTGGCGACACGTGGTATTACGGGTCACTCATTTGACGTGGCCTATTAAGATTGGTTATAACACGACTTGTTCGGCAGGATAGCGAATGGGGGAAAATGAGTGATTTTTACCTTCTAGTGTTTGGCTTAGCTAATCCATCTAATTAATGACTCGTTTGGTATGATGTAAAGTAAACACTTTGTGTGTGAAATGTAGAGAAGTTAACATTTTACACCGTTTGTTTTAATTATTTGATGTAAACTGACATTTTTTTTAAAACACTTTACACTTAAAGATAATAAAGATAGTAAACTACTTTGGTTTTATAAAGATAATAAAATAAAGGAGACTTTGTATCACACTCTCGACGATTGGTGGCAAAAAAAGGGTTGGCACTTGGCAACAAGCTTAACTAGTTTTCTTCATCTCCGATGCACATCATGCACTGATCCAACTGCAATTTCAATTTCAAGAGTCATCTTCTCAATTGGCTTCTAGTTAATCTTTCCAAGAGATGACCCAATGATGTTGATAGAGTATTAATTCTAGAGAGAAGTGAGAGCTAGAGAGAGAAAGTGAGTAATTATATTTCTCAACCCCCTATAACTAGCCCCAAGGGATCTATTTATAGGTAAAATGTGGATTTGGGCTCCTAGCCATGGACTTAGGAGGCCCATTACAATAATCATGCCTTCTTTGGGCGAAATAAGGCCACTAATGGGCTGAGTACAATACTTAGCAAATAAAGTAGAGAAATGCATTCTGCTAGGACGAGGCCTGGCCGATGCGGTGCACTTTGGCCGATGCGGTCCCATGGCCGATGCGGTCCATGGGCCGATGCAGCCCCGGAGTCCAGGTGCGCTTCCTGGGCCGGTTTGATTCCTGGCCGATGCGGACCCCCACAGGCCGAAGGGCCACGTGGATGCTGTTCTGGTCATCGTTGACTTGAGTATGTGGGTCATGGGTTCCAGGCCCATATACTCTATCAGGAGTCCCCCACTCTCTGAGCTGAGGTGAAGCCGAAGCGAAAGGGGGTACTTGTCCCTTCTCGGCCAGCCGTTGCGTGAGCTCGAGGTGCTTGGTGTCCGAGGAGGTTCTGCTTCGATTTGGATGGAGCGGTTTCTCCATTTGATGTAGACGGAGTGCTCTTGAAGATTCGTAACCTTGGTGCGGGCCGATGCGCTCTCTGTGGAAAGTGTTTTGAGGATGATGCGGCGCGCTTTCTCTTTCCAGTAGATGTGAATTTATGGAGAATACTGGCATGTTTTATTACCATTTGTTGGGGCCGAAGAGGTCCCCATGTACTTGCCGTTGTGGTGACATGGTTTTATGGAGCAAAGATGTTTGGTCTCGTTTATGAGGACGATGCGGTCCGCATGCTTTTGATCTGTTATGTGGCCGAAGCGCTTTTGACTTGTGTATCCTTGCTTTAGTGAGCCGACGCAGTCCCCCGGTGTATATAGCCGTTGCGCGCTGGATTTTATTTTCGGGTTTTAACTTTTTGGGCCCTGTGGCCGACGCGATTTGTAGTGCTATTTGAGGTAGCTGATGCGACTCTCAATGCTTATTTGAGGTGAATTGTCCGTCTTTTGTTGGTGAGCCGTAGCGCACCTTTTTGCTTTCAGGCCGTTGTGCTCTGTTTTATGTTGTTTCCTTTCCTGTGGCCGATACAGTCCCCCAGTCCCCCACTCCTTTGGCTGAAGAGTATATCTGAGGCCCAAGGGAGTCATGGTGTTCTCGAGCCGATACGGTACCCAAGCGTTAGTCGTGAGTCCGACCCTTAGGCGAACCTGTTCAAGGTAACCCTGTGGGAGAACCCTTGGACGAAGGTCGCAATACCAGGGTCATCATCAAACGATGTACACGTAAGTAGTCGTAGCGGTACTCGTGATTCTTTGGTTTACTTTGGGGCCGTAGCGCGTTTCGCTGATGCGTCCACGCCTTTGGTGATATTGGGCCGTAGCGGGTTTATCCTTGTTTTTGAGTGAGTAGGCCGGTGCCTACCCTAGCCTCGAGGCCTGTTGGGCCGTAGCGGTGGCCCTAGGGTGGAATGTGAAAGGACAGGCACTGATTGGTTCTAGAAGAGGTGCCGTTGAGGTGGCCCATTGGAGATCGCCACGTGTAGTGACCGTTGGAGGGGTTGCCTATAAGTACCCCCTGACTCCGAAGCCGCTTCCTCATTTGCATTTGCTAAGTGTCGAATTGCTGCTGAGATTTCTAGAGAGAGAAGCGCTTCCGAAGTTCCTTCAAGTCTTCATCAGTCTTTTCCCAGACCTTCATATCTTCAGAGGTCAGTTCTTTCTTGTTTTTTGCTTTTCTTTCATACTTTGCTTCCTAGGGGGTTAGATCTAGTGTTTGTAGGAAAACTCACTTTGATCCGAGAACCGCCCTTAGGATTAGGTTTTAGATGTTATGCCGTTTCCTGACGGCCGTAGCGCTCCCTCCCCCCTTGACTTAACAGCTTCGTTGGACGAAGAAGACTGGCCTTTTGACGAGGACGAAACGTCCCCTGGAGTTGATCTTCGACTGATCGAGGCTTTTGAGATTGAAATGGAAAATACCGCCGATTATCGTACTTCCGTAGACGAGGAGAGAATGAGTGCCGATGCGGGAGCGCATCATTCTGGTGGAGACGAGGCGATATCTAGCTCGCCTCTGAGAGGGGATGAGGCATCCTCTTCTGCTAACATTCCTTGCCCTCCGCCGATATCGTCCGTAGCGGGGGAAGGGCCCTCAGCTCCTAAGACGAAGAAACTGTATCGGCGGAAGCAGCGCAACGGGGCACCGCAGGGGCATTCGCAACTTGACCTCAGCAATTTGTACATCATCCGGCCGGAAGGGACCCTCGGCGAGTATCACGTAGCTCAGTTGTACGTGGGGCCGTATGGACGGGTGACGTGCACTTTGTCGTGAGGTGCACTCAAAGTAATAATACAATACGACACTAATACGTAGTATAGTGTAGTAAGGTTCGTATCCACAGGGAAAGGAATACTTTTCTTCTTACAGAAATAGATAAGTAACAATAAGGGGGGGTTTATATTTGAGTGATTTAATTAGAATTAAACACGAAGATGAACGAGTTATGTGGTTTACTTAATGAGAAGAAGACTTGGTTTTGCTTTTATCCACTTAATGAAATGTTCGTCGATCCCGGTTATATCTTTAACTATCTTCCTCTCGAATACTCAATCGAGGAGTATATCCAATTCATCGAGGGTAGTTATTAATAACGAGACGCGTTCATTAATAAAACTTACTTCCGAGTCAATATAGAACAAGCGCCGTATATTAACTTGATAGTAGCAATAAAATCAAGATGAAAACGATTGAGATTGATAACCTCAACACAAGCGGTTTATTGGTTTAATCAATATAATTAATTCCCCTTGGCTTATTAATCATGAGAAGCATGCATTAACAACCCAAGTTTACTACCATTGAAAGAACCGAATTAATAACAAGCGTATTAACCGATTGATTCTAGTAATAATTAATATATGAAACAAAACTAGTTGATCCTTTAAGTAATGTTCAAAATATTAATATGAAATATGAATAGGAATTAATTAATACTCAAGAAAGAATATTAAAGAAGATGAATCCTACTCTAGTTAATATCAAGATGTTAACTAATTGTCATCTTAGTAACACTCCCCGATATTAACGTAGAGGAAGAAATAACTATTACTATAACTAATGTCAAGATGTTAACTAATTGTCATCTTAGTAACACTCCCCAACATTGATATAGAAATAGTATTTAAAGAAAGAATTAATATTCAAGGAAGAAGATTAAAGATAATAACTCACAACTTACAAATTCATTAAGCTTCAAAGTAGCAAAACCAAGATGGAAGAGTTTAGCTCCTCATTTGGAGACTAAACATGCTATAAAAATATAAAAGAAATACTATTCTAAACTGAGCTTAAGAGTATGGAAGAAGGGATGATTAAAAGTGAAGGAAAATGGGGCTATTTATAGGTGTTTTTCAACACCTTTGGCCGGGTACCCGACCGGGTAAAGTGCCCACCCGACCGGGTGCATGTCAAAATCAAATATCTTCCACGTTCTGGCGATCTTCGGCACGTTCTGGTGTTCCGGGTCAAGTCGGACCCGACCGGGTGAAATACCTCACCCGACCGGGTGATGTAATTTCCTGAGCAGTTTCGCATTTAAATTTCTCACCCGACCGGGTGCAATACCTCACCCGACCGGGTGATTGTCCTGGGCAGCCAAGAATTATTTTTCTTCACATTCAAAGTCTTCCTTTCCAACACCATAAATCCTAACTCTACTTTACAACTTACAAATGAGAACTAAAATACAATTACAACTAAAATCACACAAATGTTTATAAACTAAATAAAACGATAAACAATACACACAAATCAAACATAAAAACATACACTTATGCACTACTAATTAGTGCATATCAAATACCCCCACACTTGAACCTTTACTCGTCTCGAGTAAACCAAATCCAGCCCAAGAAGTCCTTAAAATGGCAAGAGTATCAACACCAACATCCACGTGTGTTTTTAGAACAACACGAAAAAAATATCCCCAAAAATATAAGAGTAAAAGGGGGGTCTTCAACTCCATATTTCTTATCAACCTCAATTTTTTTTTATTACCCTTAGGATCCTGCAGAAATAATAGAAAGTACTTTCTCTCATTCTCTCATTTTGCCTAGGTGCCCTTTCGGGTTTTCATCCCAGCTTCCCACATTTTTTTGTTTTAATCCTCACAACTCACTCTTTTTTTTTGCTTTATTTTTGCTTAAGTTGCCTTTTCAGGTTTTCAACTTAACAAGCTTTATTTTCTTTTTCTTTTTTCTTCTTTTTTTTTTTTGAAAATAACTCAAGCATACAGAGTATGAATGTGAGTTTTCCATGAAATTCTCCCCAAGCTAATCAAAGCACTGTCCCTAGTGCTTGTGTCCGAGATGTCCAAGAGAATGAAT